GATAGATAGATAGATAGATAGATAGATAGATAGATAGATAGATAGATTACACAGGTAGTTCTCAACTTATGACCACAATTGAACCCAAGATTGCTGTTGCTGAGACGGTTGTTAAGTGAATTTTGCCCCATTTTTCTTGCTGTGGTTATTAAGTAAATCACTGTTGTTAAGTGAGTAAAAACATGGTCATCAAGTGAATTTAGCTTCCCCGTGGACTTTGCTTTTCATAAGATTGCAAAAGGTGATCAATCATAAGACCCCCAGGACCTGGGAACTGTCCTAAATAGGAGTCCATTGCCAAGTGTCCAAATTTTGATCACATGACCATGGGAATGCTGCAATGGTCGTCAGCGTGAAAAGTGGCCGTGAGTCACTTTTTTCTTTGCCACTGTCACTTTGAACAGTCGCTAAACAGACTGTTGTAAGTCGAGAACTACCTGTATGCACGCGTTATATGTGAATGACAGGGCTGATGAGGTGTTTTTTTCCGGTGAGGCTGGTCTATCAGGGCAATGGTCTACCCAACAATGGGATGGAGTAGACTGCTTCTGCTTTCGCCTTGTTCTGACCCAAATCTTGTTCCAAGGAAATAAACATGAAACAGAGGTAACAGCAAAAACTTTTAATGATCCTTTACGAATTCCGTTCCTTCATGGTGGAGCCTTGTCAAGGTTGTGCAAGGCTGCCAAGAACACTAGATAAAGTTACTAAGATATTTCAAACACAAAGAGTCTCCAAACACCCACCAAGATATTCCGAACGTCCACAAGGCTTGAGTGCAAAAACTTCTTTGCTTCCTGCAAAGAACTCCGGTTTGTCAGGTAGTTTTTATCTCTTGAGGGAGGGGCCATTACCTTGTAGCCTTACTCCCAAGTTGCCCGAGCTGCTGCAGCTGCTCTTTCCTTGGAGCAGCCCTGTGTGCACACGCACTGGGCACAGGCTCCTCAGGAACCTCTTCATCACTGCTGCCAGTCTCCACAATCTCTGAAGGCAGCATTCCACTCCGATGGTCCTGGCCCCATCCCTGCATCACATGCAGGCCCCTCGTCTGAGTTCTCGCTCTCCGAGACCTCAGCTATCCACGCTTGCTGCCGGCAAACCACAATATGCCTTTCAGCCCCAATTTGCAGGCAGTCGCTTTTGCAACAAACTATTTTGGGGTTGAATTTGTATTTATTTATATTTGTGCTGAATTTCTTTGTTGGGGAATATAAATTCAACGGAGCTAATGAGAAGAACTCCACCTGACCACCCCATTAAAGAGAAAAGGCAGCAGGTTCCCTGGTTTTCTCTAAGAGCTGTTTTCATACTGAATCCACAGCGATACATATTTTTTTCTGCTAGGGAAGGAGGATGTAAGTCACCCTGTTCGTTCTTTAGCTAATACAAACAGGAAATCTCTCCCTTTGTGGGGCTGGGAAAGACGTCTTCTGAAGGAGGGGAAAAAGGGAATTTAAAAAGATCCTCGTTCTGAAATGGCTCAGTACAGCTTCAGAGAAAATCTTGGCCCAAGCTCCTTTTCTTTGAGAGCACACCTGAGCAAAGGAAAGCAGCGTCGGGGCCCTAGAAAGAGCTGTGCAGAAACAATCGAAGCCCAACAAATCAGTTTAATATGTCTGCGCTGACAGATTAAATGAGATCCTGTTGACAATCATATTATCACACCCACATCTGCAGATCAGGGCAATACAATCAAATTTAGGAGCAGGTGGACTCTCCATCTATTTTTCCTTTTAGCGCAGTGAAAAATCACAATTTAGCAGTGATTGAGGGTAGGAGCTTGCAACTGAAGCTAAGTGAGACTGCAGGGACTCAGGAACTTCAGGCTCTGTCCCTCAGCAGTAGATCCCCATTATTATCATGTTATATACCATGATGAATAGAGTAGAGTAGAGTAGAGTAGAGTAGAGTAGAGTAGAGT